CGCAGAGAGATACTGTGCTCAGCCCCTGTGATGTCTATCAGGGAGCTATTTCAGTTGCTCCCTGAGGCATTCACATCTCAGCCCATCTGTGTCTGATCCTAAATTACTTATGACTGTGAGAGATAAGGGATTTCCCCATAGATAAGGGGAGGGGGGGTTGAACATAATTTCTGTGTTTGATACTTATATTAATGGAACAGCATGCAGAGAGCATTTAATTCCTGAGAAGTAGAATTAAGGTGACATAAAAATATCAGTAAAGATTAGATATTAAGACAAAGACACTCCATCCAGCAGCTGCTTTTTTCCTTAAAATTTTTCCCCTTGGTAGAGGATCAAGTGACAATGAGTATGATGAACACTGAAAATGAAATTCTCTAATAGCACAATCCAGCTGCAAGCCAAATGTTACAGAAAGACCCTGGCAGGACTGAAAGAAGTAAGTGAGAACACAAAAGACTTTGTATTGCAGTAGTCTCTACTCTCTAAGTGCTTCCCAACCATGTCTGAAGTTGCTGATCTCACTTCTTGTAAAGGCAAAGATACTTATCCCTATTTTCAGAAGCCAGAAGACTGAGCATTTTGCCCATTGGTGACACAGTGGCATTGTCCTCACAAGAAGATACTCCGAGTTGCATCTTATCTCCTAGTAATTAAGTGAATTGTATCTTCAGCTAGGGACAGGTTCTGCTTAACAGGTAATGGACAAGGAGCTTGCTCTTTGAATACCTCGCCCAGAAAAGCATCCATAGACTTTGTCTACAGGTAGGGACAATCCTGGATAATGTTACACTAGCACACCACAGGCTTCATAGCATTGAGTGTTTACTTCATACATTAGCTGAATTGAATATAAATGCCACCTTTTGGAAGCATTTTTTTCATTAATGCAGCTGTCAGAACGTTCTCCATCATGTCTGTGGGATGATGTCTTGTGCTGCTGTTTATTTGTAATAGAGATTGGAGTCTCCTTTAATGCAGCAGTCCTTGAAAAAAAGTGCTTGATACTTTGCTTGTTATGTATTGGAGAAATGCAGTTTGCAAGTCATATGCTCATCTTCTTGAACAGAGAGCTTCTGATACAGTATATCTGCCTCCGATTCTGGGCCATCTACAAAACTGGGACAACAGGCAGTTTTTTAAATGATCACAATCTCTCCTTTTCATTGTGCAGAAACTTTTAACTGATACCAAATCCTGTTACATATGGTATGTTCATGTGAAATGATGGAAGACTATGATATACATGTGCACTCTTTCTATCTATAGCAAATGAAAGGCTTTGCAGAAAGGTGAAAAAAAACATATTTGGGACCCTACTTATGTGGAAAGAGAACTTGTACTCGGGAAAGGCCTTGGCTTAAGTAGTGTTGGAGAAGTCTACTTGCTTTTCCTGATCTCAGCTCTATTTGCAAAGTAGAAATAAGACTGTTTTCTTAATTTTATGAAGGAATGTGAAATTATGGGTGGTAAAAAAAAAATCCATGATATTAATACATTTTCAGGCTACTTCACACTTAAAGGGGCTAAAGCTGAACTTTTTCATGTTTTTGTATTTTATGTGCACTGATTTAACAGTATGAATCCTAGGCAATCTTTAATGAATTGAGCATTCGGTGGTTTAGTCTAGTCAATGAATTTGATGGTTTAGACTAGGTAACACCACCTAGAAGCAAAGATGAGGCTGACATTCACAGAACTCCTCAGTGAAACAGCTAGTTTCTGTATTCTTTAAAGTTAACAGAGAGTTACTGAAAGCAATTGGTTCTTTAGGCTTAGTTGACTCCTTCACCAAGGGCTTAGTTGACTCCTTCATTCCAGTTCAGAATTCCAGTGTTTCTGCACACTGCAAATTTTGTTTTTCAGCCAGCTATAGTCCTTGCACTACTTGAGATCTAAGCTGTAATATTCACTAATTTTGAATCTGTGATTAATAAGTGGGACTGAGTTAGTAAAAGCCTACATTGGTAAGGGCTTAGCCTTACCTTTAATAAAGACAGTATTTGATGGTTTGTGACGTTCAGGAGAGTTTCTTTCTGTGGTGTGCTTAAATTTCAGTGAGGTTGGAATGGGCTTGATTGGAAAATTTTAAGGCTTTTTCCATTCTCTTTTGCCAAGCTGGTCTTTAAAACTGCTCTTTCATGATGTGTGAATTTCTCTCCATTTGAAGAACTAACAGCAGATACAACACAGAAAGTAGATTTTAGAAACGAGCTATTAGGCTGAGAAGAGGCACTTTAAGATGCCTGCAAGTTGCACAGCAACCAGAGGAACATATAGTCATTTGATTTCTCAAATGACTCTGACTTTGACTCAAGGGAGAAACAGTTTTATTCTCCCCTTAGAGCTTTCTATCATATGTGATAAAGAGAAAATGTATTTATACATTTTCCCCCTCAAAAAAAAACCCCAACTGTACCTCATCTCAGAGAAACAGCAGCATCTATTACCATGTAAATTACCACAGAACACATCTGGTCACAGCTCCTATTTGTGATCTTAAATGAGAAAATACAGTGTAATCTTTGTTTCTTCTAGCTTTTAGACATAACACGCTGACCCTTCTGAAATCATAGATTAAAACCCAACCAACCAAATAACAATTGATGCCTGATGGTTTTTCAGTTTCTGTAGACTTGTTTCTTTCATCACTGTCCCAACTTGGAATTTTTCAATAACATTTTCTGATCATAACAGGCAACAGGTCTTGGCTTTTTCTGGAGATCATCACCATATCAACTATTGTCCAGTTTCTGCTGCATGCATGTGTAGGTTGATTTCAAATCAAATGTGTTTCTGATTTTCTTTTCTGATGTCCTCTGGAGCACAGTGGCACTTGTATGTTAGATGCAGCAGCCATGTTTATTATAGTAACACCAGATAAACATTGAGCTTCATAAATGCCAGATACTCCTCTTGGAGATCTTATTTTCAATACTGATTTTGGTCATTCCATATATGTGAAGTACCTAGTTCACAAATGGTCTGATTCTGATATAAAAGCCTGTTATAGCATATAAAATGTATTCACAAAATCTAAAAATTCCTACACTAATGAATGACTTTATCAGACTGAGCAACTAATTCCTTTCGCTTGACCTTGGTTTAGTAATTTTGAACATGGCAGTGACAATGCTCTGCTTGTATAGAATATTCCAAGAACTGAATATAAAAAGTACTCCTAATATTGGGCAGTTTTGGCTGCGGAGGAATATTTAAAAGATACAGCTGTGTGCTAAAGCTTTTATTTAGAAATTGGCTCTTTCACACCAAATCTGATCTCCTGGTGACTAAAACCTGTAGGAAGTCCTAGGTATTGTTAGACGTGATGAGAAGAACCTTGTAACTGTCTCATAAATGCACGTGGTGGCTGATTCAGTATTAGCCCAGGCCATGTCTACACTGAGTGCAGTAGTGTCTACATAGGGGCTTCTGCCAGGGTTGAATTTGGGGTGGCAAGACTTTTATTCGGAAGCCAGTCCCTTTGCTACCCTGGCATAGTCCTTCCAAGAGCTGGTTTAAATTGTAGTAGTAAAAGAGTGCTTTGCATGATAAAAATCTTCCTGGAGGGGAAAGAAGAGCATGGTGGCACCACATACCTCCCAGAGATCCCTTTTAAATATGGACTAGCCAAGTGTAATAAACAGTACTGTCATCTGCAGGTTACTCACCCCTTTGAGTCCCCTTTATAAGAGGTCTCTTCTTGATAAATGCTGCTAGTGCTATTGTGTCCATTGAAAGTGTGATTCTTTATGATATAGCTGTGTCCGATCATAGATGTAGTTATATTGCTACAGGAGTATGTTTATCAATAACTATATATCCATGCTAGAACAGATTTTCTTGTTTAATTACAGCAAAGTAAGTATAACAAGCATCCTCAGAGCAATAGTTAAGATTTTCTTTTGAACTTGCAGAGCCCAGTGAGAAATGTGCATTTAGTAGATCAGAATTGTAACTTCGTTAAGATGGGTTAGAAATCAAATATATAGAGAAAACCACAGTTGTCTTGGTCTTGCAGACATCTCTAATTAGCTATGGGTCTGAAAAGTTTTGAACACCATAGGGCTGTCCAAGTATAACCAGGAACATAAAGTCTGCTGGCATAGGCAAGAAATATCATGGCTTGAGTTTGAAATTCCAAAGGCTGTTAGGTATTAGAACAGTCTGAAGTAATTGCAGCCTGACCATGTCTGGTATAGAGTCACTGAGATGCAGTAAATCACTATCATAATGCTGTTTTTTACAGAGTAAAATTAAATTTTCAAGTGTCACTTTTGGGACTGTGATCAAAGATTTCTTTTTGCCTCTGCATAATCTCTTACATTTTACAACTACTCTCTTTCTTAATAGTGAGGCATGTTTACAAATGTGCTGTCCTGCTTCTTAACAGATGTCACCTGGCTGAACTTTACATTACTGCATGCTGTCTCATGCCCAGCCCATCCCACACATGCATATGCTGGCCTCCTTGCACAAAACCACGTGCAGCACCCCACACACTTCTGGAGACATTCTCTCTCCCTCTCTCTCTCTTCCTCTCTCTCACACACACACTCTCAGAGCTTTACACCTTTTCCCTCCTGTCTCATCTTTTAGTCACTTCTTAAAGATGCTGACAGTGATTTGTTTGAGGCAGTTGAAACCTGAGACATTCTGAAAAGAAGTGAGCTGAAAGAGAAATGCATGGGAAGATAAAAAGCTTGTAGTAATTTCTATTGTATCACTTTTGCACGAGGCTTCATGTGAGGTGAGTGACTGATCTACATAAGGATGATTCAAATAGAAAAAACTTTACAGAAGAAATTTGAAATCCTATGTAGAAAAATAAGAGTGAAATATCCCTCCTTTCTTCCCTCTGTCTCCAAACTATGCTTTTCCACACCACAGCCAGCCCCAAACTTAATATGAGGGTCTGTGTGAGCTCTAACACATATGTGAGGGGGAATGCACAAGAAGTACCAGTCAGTAGTAATCTTTCTTTTTTTTTTCCTCCTCAGTTTGTTGCTCAGCCAAACTGTCAGCAGCTACTAGCAACACTTTGGTATGATGGTTTTCCAGGATGGAGGCGGAAACACTGGGCAGTAAAACTCTTGACCTGTGTCACCATTGGACTGCTATTTCCTGTGCTATCTGTGGCATATCTGATTGCACCGAAGAGCAGGCTGGGACTGTTCATTAAAAAGCCATTTATAAAGTTTATCTGCCACACAGGATCTTACCTAACCTTCTTATTCATGCTCCTGCTGGCATCACAGCACATCGTCAGGACTGACCTTCACATGCAGGGACCGCCTCCCACCATCGTGGAGTGGATGATCCTGCCCTGGGTTCTAGGTAAATCAGAAACACAAAAATGTCTGAGCCATAGTCACCTGACTCGCACCTGTGGCAACTGTGTAAAGACTTGTTCCTGATCTCAGCATCATCAACATGTAAAGAGATTTGGCAGCCAGCTTCAGTAACTGCACAAAACAGCTGGGCTCCTAGGGCTCTTCTGCTGTTCATATTGCCATCTGAGATGCCTTTAGCCATGACCCTGAGTGAACTGCAGCAGACACAGCTCTCTCCCTGCTTCCCCCCTGCTCTGTGCAAGGAACAGGTTAGAAATTAGCTTCTGGGCCTCACTAGTAACAAATAGTGTCACTTCTCATGCTGGCTTAGTGCTGCTGGCTGGTACATGGCAGAAGGCAGCACCAAGAGCCTGCCTCTGCTTTCACCTTCTCGCTGAACTGCTCCTGGAGCCAGTGCACAGGTACCAGGCCTCCTTATTCCTCCGCTCCCAGACTCCCAGATAGCCTACAGGACAGCAGGAAAGGGAAGATAAACCTCACTGCCGTATGCCTCTGTGCTGATAAACACTGACCAAATCCATATCAAGTATTCTAACATAAGCAGGAGAAGGAGGAAGTATTTACTATCAGAATGTTAAACATGAGGCTCTTATTCCAGTCTGGCTTGGGCAGCCACAGCTGCTGGGAAGCGTCCGTGTTCCAGAAAGCAGGATGTATGGGTGAGGTGGGATGGGACAAAGCAGATAGAGACACTGAGGGAGAGGAGCAGAGAAGCATAGTTGGATATATATTTTATCAGAGAGAAGTATTTATCCTTTCAAACTGAGCTCCAGCACAACAGCAAGTGAAGACCTATGAACTACATCAGAAGCATGATCTCTCCTCTAATTAAGCTCCCATCTCCCTTGCTGTGCCATTAACATATAGCACCACTGTGAGCTGGGGGGTTACAAGGAGATCTGCTCATGGGCAATGGTTTCCACACCTTTGTAGCTCTCCTCCACCTTCTGTCCATACAGCCCAGGTCAGTTCAGTGCAAAATCCCAGAGGTCAGGTAACAGTGAATTGCGACTGGTTAGTAGAGGTCAGTGGGGTGGAAAGCCATGCTGATGCTTTCTGAGAACAGCTCTCACAAACCTCAATCTCTGGGGCTCTCCTTACGGCTCCTCAGTGCTTCCCATGGGTCCACCCTTGCTTTCCCCTGGGCCCCAGCTCCTTGTTTTTGTGGTGGCTCTGGATCAGGCTGGTTCTGTGCTGAAGGAACCTAGCTGTTCCTAAAACCTAAAATTGCTGGTGGAAAATGAGGAATGAAAGTGAGAGTTGCAAACATGTTCACAAATCACTTTCCATCGTGACCCAGGGCGATTTGCTCCTTGCATAGCTCTAACACAACTTACAAATGGTAACTCAACCCTTATTACCTTATTAAACTGATTAATGGCATTGAAATGCATATGTTGGTAGAAACTTCAGAGTAAGCTGAGAAGGCTAAATGTCTTTTCTGAGCTTAGGTGATCTCTTCACTTTATCCTTAACTTCATGGTTAAAATTCAGGGAAATGGTAGGCATTTTAGCAAAATTGATTTGCAGATGAAAGAAGGTTAATCCATTAAAAAAAACCCTTCAAAATCACCTCTTACAGCTGTCTGCTCTTCTTTTTGAGTTCTTTTGTTTTGGATAATTAGGGATGTTGTGGGACTGTTTATTAAATGGAGAAATTAGAACAGTTTCACCAGATTAAAGGTGATTATTTAAGAAATATTTTCCACTATAAAAGGAGAGAGAGGACAGGCACACACAGCATTGCTGTAACTATAGTAACCAGCAATGATAACTTGCTATAAATACAGTATATGAGTTCTTCAACAGGCCCCTCTCCATTGATTTATTTTATTTTATGTTTTTGTGTGCATGAAAAGATTTGGAGGCAGCTGTAATGAAATTATCTTATTGGCCTTGACATTATGCTTGCGTGATTATTGACCTACTGGCTGGCAGCTGAAGAGCTAAGATTGATATCTGGATGTTTGCAGCAGTTCATTTCAACATTATCTGCTCTTCAGGTTGAACTTCCAGGTCCTAAAACTTGAGTTGCAAGTAGTAAATGACCACTGCAGTATCCTGTGGTGAGGCACGGGTAGCTATCTTGGTAATGCACCTGGAGGTGTACTTTGTTTTTTTTTTAATTTTCATGCATGTTTCAGGTCTTTACTTTGAGGATAATGTTGTAAACTGGATAATTCAAAGTGTCTGGGGGCTCTAAAGACATTCTCAGAAGCATGCAGGTGATGAAGGAGTCTAGCTGCTGTTTGGTTTTTAATGGGACTTGGGCTTTCAAAAATACTTAAACAGTTCTACAGTAAAGGTCATATAAGTTACTTAAAATTAGAATTGTATGCCAGGTGAGTTTAGCAGTCTGGTTAATGAACTTCAGAAGCTGCCCCTCACCCCTCCAGTGGCAAGGAGTTAGACTGAAAGTTAGCAAGTGCCAAAAATTACAACCAGAAGGCATTTCAGAGTTGAGGTGATGGGCCCTGGCCGTATCCTCAGGAACAAATATTCACCTTGCAAAACCTATAGCCATGTTTGACATTAGGTGAGTCATTGCTGAGAGATGTGATGCCAGGCTGCGGTGCCCTTTCTCATGCTGAGTCCTGCCTTTTCTCATATTTAGTCCCTATGGGGTTTTTGTGCAGCAAGATTCGTAGGACTGAGCATAGAGAATTAGTTCAGTTCTTCCTTCTTTGATGTGATATTTCCGGATCGGGGGGGAACATACTGGTATGCAGAAACTGGTACTAGTGTTGCATGCTCTGCAGAGAAAGTCAGGAAAAATCAGTACTGTCCAACTGAGTAATGAATTACTTATAGTTCCTATGAGAGCAGACATTCTATTAGAAACTACGCTTCATACAGTTGCTAAATAGTTTATTCATATAGAACAAATTTCATCTGAGCCAATCCACTCATACTAGTTAAAATTAATGTATGTTTCAAGCAGTCTCCTTGTATGTATATCTGGAGCCCTGGATAGGAAACCTAGGTCTTTTTCATATCTTTCTAGACTACATTCCCCACAGAGATGTAAAATGTCTCCTAATCAGCAGTATTATACTTTGTAGAAGACAGGAGGGATGAGATATTTTTTCCAAGCTGTTAATTTAGAGTTGTCTTTTGTTACATCAGATATACACAGTGCTTTAGTGGCAAATAATACCTCATCATGACAGTGAACTCTCTCTCTTTCTTCAGGTTTTATCTGGGGAGAAATCAAGGAAATGTGGGATGGTGGATTCAATGAGTACATACACGACTGGTGGAATCTGATGGATTTTGCAATGAACTCCCTCTATCTTGCAACTATCTCCCTTAAAATTGTTGCCTACGTCAAGGTACAGTAACTTGTAAGAGAGAATTTGTAACTTGCTTGTGAGAACAGTAGTACATAGGGTACACAGGATTGTCAAAATCAGAATTACAGATCAGAGAGAATAGCTGCTTTTCAAGCAGTCCATTTTTGAAAGTTCACCTGGAAAGCTTATTAATTTGTTAGATTGCCTTTCTCATCCTTTGATCATCACTATTTGATTAAGACTGAAGTAGATTGTTTGGGCATTGGATAGAAGTTTCCCCACTTGCTGTCCATTCTGTAGCTACTTAGTTGCCAAAGATAAATTTTGTTTTCCATACTGACAGTGGACCTCTTTCAGTAATGCTGGACATAGCGAAAACATGATTTTTAAATAAAACAGTAAAGGAAAAAAAAACAAGAATAGGGTTATCTGAAAACTTCTACAGCCAAGATTTATAATCTGTAGTCCTACAGATCTGTAGATTACTAATCAGATGTTTGTGAAAGGTCTACTAAGAAAAGCAAGCCTGCTAGTAGGAGGCTTCCATCTGACATAAAGGAGTCACCTTATTCTCTTCAATAAATAGTTCTAAACTATAGGCAAAGAAATGACCAAGGAGAATGCTGGAGCTCTACTACCATGCAGATTCTTCACTGTCACGTTCCATTTATGGTGAGAACGCACATCAGAGCTCATCCTCAAAAGCACCTTCCGCATTTACAAACTTCTGATGCTCCAAGTTAGTGTATGCCCATGTTTTGAAGCCAGAGGATGCCTGAAATAGTTTCCCTGTGTATCTCTTTTTCAAAGACACAGACAAGTCTTCTGTAAACTCCCTTATGCAGTGGCTCTCTGACTTCGGCTGGAGCTGCATGCTTGGCCTGATTCATACCAAGAAAATCTTGGTATGAATTAACAGTAACTTCACTACAGTTAGTATCATTACACAGGTGTAAATAAGGTAACTGCAGTCTGCTCCTTGTCCACTTACTTGGATTCTAGTGTTGCTGTGCTACTGTGTTGGTTTTGCTCTGGTAGAAGGGTACTACTTCTTTTAGCCCAGCTCCTAATAACCAGGACAAGCACTTCCCTAAAGCAACATTGTTTAGTCCTACCCAAGCATGAATGCAGGCAGAGAGGAAAAGAGGAGAAAATTTCACAAAGCTTATTGACTCCAAAATAGAAAGGCTTTTATAAAAAACTTTGGCAAGCAGTCCTGCTATGGGGCCTTTTAAAAATCCAGAAGGCTGCATAGTGGTGAGATAGTTTTTCAAAGGGAAGAGCTTTAAGGTAGTTGCTGCTCCCTGAAGAGGCAGCTCTGTAACAGCATCAAAGCAGGAACAGATTATGTCTTTTTTTCTCCCAATGTTCAGAACCAGTGAGGAAATTACAGACTTGAAAGGTTGGTCTTTAAACTGAGAGCAATACCAAAAAAAAAAAAAAGCTGGAAATCATAAGAGTCACGAACAAATCTTAAAATGTTAACAATCTTGTTCTTTCTCACACACAAATTACTAGAAGAGCTGTGCATCCACAGATTTTTACAGTCACATACTGAGATTTAAACTCTTAGCCAAGCCATACCTACAAAGGAAGTACAGCTTTTCTGTATACTCTGTAAGAAGTACAGAAACCTACGGGCTAACTACAAAGACCTATATGCCATCACGCAAAAGAATGCTTCCAGGAATATATCTGTTTGAGTACATATCAGACCCACTTGGATTAAACCTGGTTGATCTAAGGTCTGCTCCTGATGAGGACCAATGTCAGACAATTCTGAGAGATGCATAAAATTATATATCGGAGTAGTTCGGAAACAGCATGCTCACAGAAGTTCCCTCTGACCTGTGTCACTCAGAGGTTGCAGTCTGCTCTGAAACATGAAGATTTATAACATTGATAATGGCTTCAAAACCTTTTGCAACATGACTTGTAAAGGTTTTTCTTATTTATAGAACAGCCCCGAGCTGGAAGAGGCTGCTATATGTGTCAATATACCATATTCTAACACTTCTTAGAACTTCAAAGGATTACATGGACATTTAACTTTCTGCCAAATATCAGAAAAATAACATGCGTGCTGACACTAATATATTCCATCCTTGTTTTTACATGGAGACTTATTTTTTCCTTGATTTGACTGGTTCCAAGACCTAGCCCAATTATTGTCCCATAGCAATGAAATCTTCAGGCTAATTATAGGGTAAAAATACTTTCTTAATCAGTTTTCATTTGCTGCATTGAATTATCATGTAATAAGGAAGCATAAATGTGACTGCCTGGAGTAACTTATTTGTACTATTCTGTATACATCTCTGCTGTTTCACCTTCATCTTCTGATGCTTAACCTAAACAACTCCAGCCTTCCTAAATATCCAGCTTCATTAGATACCTCTGAAATCTTCAGTTTATTACTAGTGATGCTATGCTGCTCTGAAGAGACTGTGGTTTTCCAAGCAAGGATATACCATCAGTTTATAAAGAGCCAAAATATGACCCTAACAAGTTGCTGTAAACATAGACATGAGATGAAGAAGACCTTTTCACATACCTTTATGTGCAGTCTGTGCTAAACCCTAGCAGAGAGCCCCTGGGCTGATGTGTCCAGCCAGCATGCAAAAGGGAATTGTGAACAACTGTGCTCCCTAGTCAGGGAAGCTTTCCAGTCACAACCATCCACCCCCACTGCTGGATATTGGCAAAAAGTTAACATGTCTGCCTGTTTGTAAATATTTTAAGACCCATCTTCAAATCAAGTTAACAGACTTAGGCCATGATGTTCATGTAATAAAGAACAGTTTGGAAATGTCAGAAGCAATCAGAGGTCATGCTGAAAAGCCTTTGTATCATGTCTCAGCTCCTTCATACAGAGGAATAGTTTGAAATATCAACTTGCTTTTAGCTGTGTCCTTAAAATAATTGTGAACTCATGTATTGGACCTTCAGATTTAAATAGAGAAGCCCCTGAAAACTCATCTGTCAGTATGATATTGATACTATTTCATTTTAAAAGGTATAAAAATTATGTTACGAGTCCTAAATGCGCTGGCTATGCTATTAGTTATATTATTCTAAGTACATTTTTACCTTTTTATACATGTTAAATGAGCAGCAACAAATGTTAAAAGGACAATTATTCCTTGATATTAAAATGTCTTTGACTCCATTCTGTTGTGCCAGTGTAGTTAAGCCAGAGTAGTTACATTTATACAACCAGCTCTTCAGTGTTACCTATTTGCATCAGACTGCACTTAGCTCAGAAAATGCTTCTGCTTTTACAGTTACATGACGAACCAAGTTAATGTTATAATTGATGCACTCAAATGTATCCAGTGCTTCAGCTGTAATTGTGACCTCCACTTTAGCAACTCTCCTAAAATTGCCATGACAAATTAACTAATAAGAAAATTAATATGAAGAAAGCATTTTGGTTCTGGGCTGTTGGCGCTTTTTTTGAGATCACTAGGGAAGGGAAGCATCCACTTCTTACACTCAGTAGTTCATTGCTTTTCTTCTTCCCTCCCTTCTTCCTCCCTCACATTCTTCCTCAAAGGTGCAGCATTTTGAATGTGCAGTCATATTTAGGAGGAAAAAGAAAAAAAAAGGTAATTGGAAGTTTCTGAGCTGAACCTGCTAAAGGGTGGTCTGAACCCGTTTAAATGTTGAAAGAGAAGGAGATTGTGTATGAACCCATGGACCTGAAGAACACACAAACAATGAACTCAGAATTCAGGTCTGTTTTCTATATTTAGTCTAAGAAGCCTCTAAAGAAAATCTGGTTCCACAATTATCCATATCAGGGGTCATCATCTAGTAGGGAGACTACATAAGAAGGAATCATTACACCCAATCTCTGCCCTGATCAAGTCAGCTTCAATCTTGAATCCTGAATGTTAGTCTGACAGTAACTGAGACTTAAAGAGTTTAAAAGTACTTCTTGTGTCATTGGACTCTGCTTATTATTTACATGTGAACCATTAGTATTAGCAGGTGTGACTTTTTGAGTTATCTCAGAGTAATTACAACATAATTCACTTTTATAACCTTATTTCTTTCAGTATAACGGTTCTCGTCCAAGGGAGGAATGGGAAATGTGGCACCCGACTCTCATTGCAGAAGCCCTCTTTGCAATATCCAACATTTTAAGTTCCTTGCGTCTCATATCCCTGTTTACAGCAAATTCACACCTGGGACCCTTGCAGATTTCTCTGGGACGCATGCTGCTAGACATCCTTAAATTCCTTTTTATCTACTGTCTGGTGCTTCTGGCTTTTGCCAATGGACTGAACCAGCTTTATTTTTATTATGAGACCAGTGCCTCGGAGGAACCCAACAACTGCAAGGGGATCCGATGTGAGAAACAGAACAATGCCTTCTCCACGTAAGACATCCTTTCTGTTTTTAAGATTGACTTTCACAATCCCCTGTTCTACCTGCCTTAGCCTGTTGTCTGTCACTGCACTGAAAGTGCCTTTATTCATTCACAGCTGTCAGGTGAGCTGGTTGACTGTGCAGGAAAGGTGTGAGTTAACTGGAGCAGACATTCTGCTGAGCTTTGCTGTCAGAAAGACTCTTACTTAGGTCTAGAATTGGGAGACAAGAGTTTCCCTGCATGATCCTGCAACTTAAATTTTATGATGGCTACGTACAATTTCACTATATTTGAGAAAGCAAGTATCCTTTTGCCATAATAATTGTTTTGTCTGATTCCAGAGGAAAGGAGGGGAAACTAAACAAAATTTTATAAAGCAATGCATAAACCTATGGAAAAAAGGTATTAATAAGTAATGTGATAAAGCAGAAATAACAATCTCACCTAGGCCATTTTATGCATATATGATGTTGCAGACTCACCTTGCAGTGAGGTGAAACTAAAATCCCAGCAAAAAATGCTGAAAATGCTGGTACTTTACTGAGATGTTGGCATGGAAATTGCTGTGGTGACAGCTGGCAGGGCTGAAAGAGATAGCACATGCTGAAAAATAACATGAATTGTCTTTCTGATGTATTTGTTTTAATTACTAATAGTGGAAATAATTATAATAATCAGCCCCCACCCAATTGTTCTTGCTTCTTGCACAGTACTTAAAAACACAATGGGAAGAGAAATAAATAAAGCACGGTCTAGAAAAAGGCCTACGCCTTGTAAACAAGCAAAACAAAACTGTTGTCCACCACTTTATGCTAAATTAAATAAAACTTGTCATAATGCCCAATAATTCTCCACCCTTCCTCAGCTGAAGGCTTGAGGTTAAGAAAGAATTTGTGCATATTTGCACTGTTATCAAAAGCAGATGATGGCTGAGGCCACATGACTTGGTTGGAAGAGGAAAGGCTCCATCATTGTCCTGAGGCCTCCCTCCTTAAAAGAACTGGGGGATTTTCATGGGATAGAGTCCAGCCCTGAAAGAGCATCATGACCTAGAAGACCAGACATGCTGCCATTTTCTACTGCAGAGCAGGAACACCACAGGCTTGATTAATTTTCTCATTAAACCCATCTGTATCTGGGAGAAGTGAATGGAACTGCACTGTGCTAATGAAAAACAGAATTAAAGACTTTGGTCTTTTTTCTGTTTTAATTGCTTCGCATGTCCCAGAAATGTGTTGTGCTGCCCTTGCAGAGGAATTAAATAACAAATACTGTTCCTTGATCTACATCCATATTGATGCAGCAGCCAGAGGGAGAAATGTTTGGCAAGCACAATGTTTGTTAAGTGGCAAATTCTAGCTCACCAAGGGTCAAAACCACAAAGTTTAGGACTAGAGCCTGCCTTTCCCTGGAGCTATGGTGAACAGATGTATTCAGTTCTACATTCTGGTTGGGACCTGTCTCCATTGCAAACCAGTTAGTTGTTTTACGGATTTCACTGTCAGCAGGTTAGTGGAGAAAACAACAGCAGGATTTGACTAAAGAAAAAAGAGCATTGGGTCAGCAGAGAGAACAAAAAAAAAAAGATCCCCAAGTTTGTAAGAAGGTGTAATATCTTGGGAACTAGAAATGATACAGAACCACTTAACAAAAAGCATGCAGATCAGCTTAAATACAGACCACAGTTTCTCCCACCCTAACGTTCAGTTTAAACCCCCTGCCAAGGAGAATGTAGCACAGAAAGGAAATTGAGGGGGCTCAGCCTTTATGGTAGAGGTTTGTTTAAAACAAAATCACAGTGGGAGAGGATCCATTAGGACTGAGGTCTCCTGGCAGGGGACAGAATGCTCTGCAGTTACTTTTTGTTTGAGACTTGCTTAAGAAATTTATTTAACATGTTCTTAAAAGTTTAAATAGTCATTATTAACACCCCCAGTACTAGCTGACATTTGGCCCTTGAGCAATGCACAGCATGGGTGACTGGCTAAGAATGAGGAACCTGCAAAACAGAAAATTATATTGTTGGGCTGGGGAGAGCAAGCATGGCTGGAGTGAATTCAAGTCAGAGCTGGTGTTACCTCAAGTTTGCTCCTAGTTCATCCCTAATGAAAGAATAAATGTAAAAAGCTTTCAATCAGTACCCTTTGATTCCTACCAGCATTTCTAGGCAGTCACACAATAAGATCTAATTTTGTAAGGGAAGGAAAAGCAGGACGCCACTCATGTTTGTACAGCTTGTTTAAAATGTGACACTTCTTTACCAGTGCATTATTTTCTATTACTCCCAAAGGATGGGTTTAATATTTTCTTGGTGAAGAAATTTTCTGCATCACAAACATAGATCATGGAAAAGTAATATTCCTTTGTGACAGCAATGAGGTGAAGTCATAAATAATTTAATGGTTTATGCTTTGGCCTCACCATCCCTTAGAATGCAGAGTGTCTACTGCTTAGGCAGACAGTTTGAAAATAGCTTTATCGCTGTGATTCTGTCAACAAGGAGGGAGAAGAGAGACAGAGAGGAAGAGGAGTAGTGGGTGGAGGAAGTCACACCTTACTGCCTGCTGTGTCATTCTCACTGAAGACTCACACTGATGCTGGGGCCATTTCTCCGGGATCTACAGGAGGTCAGGAGGCTTCCTGTGGCAGAGGGGGGCACTCGCTGTCTCTGAGCTGCTGTGGAGAGTGGTGGAGTTTTGAGATTTGTCCTGTTTGTTTAAGATCCAAAATAATACTCAGCAGGAGAGGATAGTCTCTTAGTCACAATTTCCAAAATTCTTTTTTTAAAGCTGCTTCTTTGAAGTAGTGTGAACCCCACCTGAAACCCTATGAAAAGAGATTGTGGTCCTGGCCTGTCATTAAACACTGAGGGAAGAGTAACTAAGTCTTACTTCTGTGCAAAGTTAGAGAAACCAGTCGCGCTCTTTTTTGGAAGGTACTACATGTCCACATGTAAATATACTGGCCTTAGTCTGGGCCCAAATTATACTCCTGGTTATTACTGTGAATTCAGAACAATGAATTAATCAGTTCTAAGATGGATTTCAGTTTCATGACAGGAACTCACCTGTCTCCCCTGAGCCTACAGCCTAATCAATACTTCTACTGGTAACAGTTAAAATAAGTTAAAAGATAGCTATCACTGTACCATTTTTATTAGAGAAGTGCTTAGCATTCTTTGGTTTATCCTTATTTTACCATCTCACATTTAATAAATCTAACAAATAGCCTGACTTTTGGGAGAGAGGATTTTTGCTTTAAAAGAGTCTTTATAATTTTGGCCAGTGAAAAACGTAAGATACATCCACAAAACATAAAGAAACTAAATCCCCATGTAAAGCACAGGGGTACAGGTGGAACAGATGCCTAGAGAAGCCGGGAGAACAGATTCGTGGTATGTCAAGTAAAATATCTGAACTATTTGTGTTGATTTTTCTAGTAGGAGCATTTGAATATATCTGCTGACCTCAGGCCAAAATGGAAACTCTTAAACAGGCATATAAATGTCATTTTTTGATGATATAAATGCCATATTTTGGAAAGCTAAAACAAAGATGCCCAAATAGAGACATTATTTAGATTGCTGATTATGTATTTGACGTGATTGCGAAAGGTCACTTGTCTCTGGCTGAAGCAAATAGAGACCTGGGATGATCTCATCAGCTGTAAAGCACAGCGAGGTCAGGTCTAGTTCATCAATGGAAGGAAGACTTCAAAACAAGAAAACCTCTGGAGCTGAATTGATGTGATGACTCTTTCATCTGAGTCATTACTGACTGGGTGTTGCAGCGTGCTGGTGAGGGCCCTGCACTGTGGTGCATGGGAGCTGCTGCACAAACAAGCCATAGCAACCAGCATTTATGGCCATGTGCATTGCTAACGGGGTCTTGGCTCAACTGACCTGGTTTGCTTGCAGCTGAAGGAATTGCAAGATCTCAGACTGTATTAGAGCAAAAGGTGCAAGTGGATGTGATTTCTCACACCTCCTACCTCTGTTGTGCGGTGTTTAACTACTACAGCCGTGCTGTACTTGGGGATGGGCTCCCTGCCTGTGTAGTCTGCATGTTAATGCAGGCACTGATTAAACAGGGGAGTTTATAGATAACAGCAGTATCACAGCATGGCAATTTTAATTAGAGGGCATATATTGTGGCTGTTCTTTACACGTGTGTAGAGCAGAAAAGGGAACCTTGGGTTCCTTCAAGGCAGTTTGGCTCATTGCATCTCACAAGGACGTGGACAGGGCTCGCAGACAGGTAGCAGATGTTGTTGCTGTGACACAACTCTGACATGCATTGGCCGGTGGGTCACTGTGGCTGGAGTTCAGGCTGCCTCCCAGGGAGAACGAATGGCTGTACTGAGCAGCTGCTCTGTGGTGACCTAGGCTCCCAATGTCTGTGTTTCACTGCCTGAACCAGGCATTGTTTTCCATTCCCCTGAGTCGGATAACCAAGTAAAAATCTGGTTTTGTTTGCAGACTTTTCGAGACCCTCCAGTCACTCTTCTGGTCTGTGTTCGGTCTGCTGAATCTCTACGTCACCAATGTGAAAGCCAGACATGAGTTCACAGAATTTGTTGGGGCCACTATGTTTGGGACCTACAACGTCATCTCCCTTGTTGTGCTGCTGAACATGCTCATAGCCATGATGAACAACTCCTACCAGCTCATTGCTGTAAGTTATCTCATTCTCTCTCTTTTTTCTTTTATTTTTTTCTTCATGTGCCTCATCTGCTTGGTTTATAGCAAGTGTGTATCTTCTGGGATGCTGGAGACTGCTGCCCCCAGCTTTTGACAGCAGATAGTTGGGATTTCTACTCACTAGCCTGAATCATGCTTGTGGAGGCGGTTTTGCTCTGTTTGTAATGCTTCTTAGCTGGAAAAGGCTTATCAGCTGTGATCTGCCCTTGTCTTCTCCTGCAGAGTAACCTCACCGATCACCTTGCTATTAGCAGCTGGTTTACTTTGTAGCAGAGAGGGTATATAAAGGGAAGCTTCCCCCACTGCTACCTGATGTTTGGTTTTAACTTGGGAGGTGTTGTATTTTTTTTTCCTCTTACCTATTACTGTTTTCTCTTTTGAAACCCTGTGTGTCAGAAGCGCAGTCCTGTAATTTCTTATTCCACAATCTTCCCACTGAAATGAGATCATTTCCATCTGTAACATCAGCCAGTCTCCTGGCAGCTTACTCTGTAGACGTATAATCTCAGATTCCTGAGTAACCTCAGTGCAGGATGAATCTCAGCTGAGGCAGCTCAGGGCTGCCAGTTGGCTGTAGAGCCAAGTTTCAAACTTAACATTATCTTCACTTGAATGTTCAAAACTGGTCTCGCTACTGTAATCTCATTCTGTGTACCTAAAAGCCAATCTGTACATCAATGATTAAATTTTTCAACTGACTGAAAACTAAAGCAACATGGCTCTGCATTTTAAGCTCTTCAGGTAAACTACACAGAAGCAGTATGGAAGGAAGAAGAGTCGTGTGTGCGCAGTACTTAAAATAAACCACGGGGAACTTATTTTCCAGTTCTGAGAGCTAACATGATAGGTTCAGAGATAATGAGGTGATGAAGTGTTACATCATCTGTGAACAGAAACAGGAGTTAGGAAAGTCAATTGTGTCCTCAGCTGGTCACTCAGAAGTACAGATAAAGTAGAGAGACTTCATTCTCTGCTTTGGATGACTTTTGGTTTTACTCTAGAAGATAGAAGATAAAACAGAGAAAAAGAACTGGTACTAGCTCTCCTGTTTCCATTCCCAACTTCATGGACAAATCTCTGGGGAAGTGTATGGGTGAGCTGCTTTCCCGGCTAGAGCACACAGAGTATTGAGTTGTCTGCTTGAACATATCAACTGTTGTTGATTATCTGCTGATTCAGGTGGCTCCTAGATTTAGTTATCTAGTCAAAGTGAGCACAGATCCAGTCAAATCGGTGATCCTTTTGGACATCTGATCAGTATGAGAAAAACTGGACCACTGACCTTCCAAATGAGCAGAAAAGCAGTTTATCACAAAGGCATCTCTGTTTTATCAGTCTGCTTCAATGCTTTAAGTGCATTCTCTTTGTTCAGTGCTACTCCTCTGCATTCCAGGGAGACTGGAATGAGGGGCAGAAAACAAAGATACTCTCCTTGGCCATTTTCTCCCATTCCCCTTCCTTTATTGTCAGCAAATAGGCTTGTCACTGACGCAAAGCCCAAACCTAAGACTGGGATAAGAATAGCAGTATTTGCTATTCACTGGGACACAAGCCACTCATCATTCTTTTCCCTGAATAATTTGAGTGATGCAATGACACATTACAGACAATCCCACATGACTTAGAGAGACCCATCAGAACAATTTACTGAATGAAGTGAATGGTCCAGAGCTGACTGTTGTATTAATGTTTTTGTATATGGAGCAGTTGGGAACAGTGAGTTGCTCCATCAGAAAGTATGCTTGTGAGAGACGTGAGGGTAAGGGACTGAACTCACCAGATAGTGTAGGCATGACACACAGTTCAGCATGCAGCATGAGCCCCCTACTCAGAAGAATGACAGTGAAAAGGCTACAGGATACTTCTTTGACACTTAAACTGTCATAATTGCAATTGCTATTGAGAGCAGTGACATTTCTTGAGAAGTCGAGAGGCAGTCACTTCCAGTCTCTTCTTGTGCAGTGCATGCAGCTTGTTTTCTGAAGCTTGTATTTCTGCATGCTCACAGTATTCTCTCGGGGACAAGTTTTCTTCATGTGTCTTCTCAGGGCAAACATCAATTAATCTCTTCCCTGAAGAAAAAAACTCATTAATAAATGTTGAGCTTCACAGCTATGGGTCATTTTTTAACCTTCTGTAATCAGGCCTACCCCTTGCTAGACTGGGCGTTTTATCCTCCTGGTATTTATGTTATATTGAATACACATGTAATGACAGCAAGGAAAGGACCAAGAAGCCCTTGAAGTGGGGTGGAGGTCTTCTTCTCAATACACCTATAGGAAATCTTGTCCCAGATGCACAGAGCTAGAGGTAGGCATCAGGGATGAGAGTGCATCTCTGCTTGCTGATTCCCCCTACAGTGGAGTGGTCAGGACTTCTTAATTAATTCTACTTGTTAATGAGCCAGTGGCACTGCTGCAATGCAAACAGTTCTTCTCCTTTCTTCCAGGGACAAATATGTAGCAGTTATTTTTCAGGTTAGCTTTTCTCCATTGTCTCATATATACATGAATTTCTGCTGTGAGGTTAGAGAAAGGACTCTTCATTACATCTCCCTAGTACGGGGGTCAGGGCTTGGTAGTTAATTAAGCACTGTAGGCACACAGCATGAAACCACAGAGTATATGTGGAAGACAGAGCACAGCAAGCAAAGAGTAAAACCTTCACACAGTTTTGAGTGAGTCCTGACTCATGGAAAGAATTTTTCTGCCATAATTTTGTTGGGTTTTTTACTAAGCTATTTCAGACTTCAATAAATACATTTTTCTAGGGGTACCCTGAAGCGGTTTCAATATTGATTTTTTTCATACAGCCCATTTTTCTCTTTTGTCAAACCACTGTCAAGAGCTGGTTATAGGAGACACTACGTTTCACCAACAAAGCAAACAAAATCCAAACGCACACCAAAATTTCCATGTGCTTTGCACTGTTTCAGTGTGTGAAGATCAGAATGTTCTGAACAAACAGCACAGAATGCAACTGGATGTTATGCACTGCTGAATCTCTCATCTCAGTAACTTCCCAGATGTGACAAAAATACCATTACCTGATGAACAGAAGAGGAATATGTCATGATGACAAGAGGAAGGACAGCAGAATTTACTTGAGAGTAGCCAGGTGGCTCCACATTTGTAAGTGGCAGAAAGTAACAGAGGGGGTAATGACGACACTGACAGGCTGTTTCTTATAGGATTTCCATTTGGCTGCAGCTGAAGTTACACAATCCTTCTGCCAGTTTGTAATTTTTTTCAAAACAATGTGATAGTGGGTGTTACTGGGGGCTTTAGGGTGCAGGTGCATTTTTGCCTTTCTGGTGCACAGGGGGCACGTCCATTTTGCAGGGAATTAGCAATCTACACATATTTTCTGAGAGCATGTTCCTTGTGGACACATCCGTGATATTCTGGGAAGTCATGCAGGAATTAGTCACTGGAAGTGTACCAACAGTTGACTCTGCAGCTGCAGGAGCAATAGGAAGCAAGATCGATGGAAGAACGGCAACTAGGACACATCTGCAGAGGAAAAACCATAGGGCTGTGAACTCGTAATCTCAGCTCCAGGTGAGTTAGAGCGCTAAGTGGTGCACAACAGCACTGCAGCACTAGGCATCCCACTGACATATTAAGGAGCGATGTAAGCACTTGCAGTTTTCATATGTTTTAGTAAAGTACAACAATGCTTAATACCTCGGGGATAGCATCACACCAAACTAGGTCTGAGAAGAATTACCTCTAACTAAAGTGCATGGAAGGGAAGGTGTTACAGCTTCAGGTGTGTGGTACATGGTGTACGTGTGACGTTGGAATGATGACTCCACTTCAGCAATATGTATTAAGTTACAGAATTGTTTTGTATACAGTATTTTGTATCCAGTTGGTTTGTATGGCTATTATTTCAAGCTGGTTCATCTCAGACAGCTGTTACTGCAAAAGACAGCTGCACATTGAATTTTTTTAAGTGTATCTCTGTCAGTAGAGTGCATGACCAAATTGAAACATAGTTGCCAGTGTTGGGATTGGAGAAATGAGGGCATTGGGCACCAAAATAGGATTGCAGTTTTAAATGATGAAATGGAGCGGATTAGCACATATTGTGGAGGACAAGAATGAAAATGATAAACATTTTGCATAGTAAAACAAAAGCTGTACAGTAAACAGAAACAGTTGGTATATGCAGCTAAAAATAAGTGATTACCTTCAGGAAATTTTGACTGTAAGTGCAGGGATGCTGTACATGTGATTTTCTCTATTTTTGCAGAGTAGAGAGCTTAAAGATTAAAGCACAGAGGAATATAAATATTTTTCAGCTTCCTATTACATTGTTTCCAACATGACTTTGGATTTCCCCCAGGAAGTAGTATCAAACTTTTCTTGATCTACAAACAACAAGAATTCCTGTAGTTTTCTGTGCCAGCTGAACTCCCTCAGCACCATGGCAGTAATTGCTACCCAGTGTAATTCGCAACAGCAGCAGAAATTCTTTTCCCCATTGTGATCTATGACCCTTAGGACTGTAAAAAAATGTTGTACCTCCTCTGCTTGCATGACCTACACAGTAATTACTTGGTGATTTTGCTAAGGAAGAATTTTACGAATCAATAAACTTAGTTCATGATACACAGTTGGATGGTTCCTGCGTGTGGCAGGTTTTGGGGTGGTAGATTGTCCCCCTGTAGAGGTAAGGCCAGCTCCAAAACCTGGACTCAAATCTAAGCTATTGTAAAATGTCAGGAAGTGTTCATCTCCCAGGCCTCCATTTCAGAACCATTAATTTGAATTTCTTAGGAGAAATCAAGATGTACTTGCTTTTTAACTCTGTCATACAGCAGGAAATGAAATTATGCCCTTTTTATACTCCTGTTGCAAATACAAGCTGGGATTAATGTCTCTTGAAGCCTTTTATGGTGTAGCAAAACAACTAGGCTCTAGAAAGGGGATTAAATGGCTCTTCTTTGGTTTGCCAGCTGAATGAAAT